CTGTTCTCAGAGCTGTGAATTGGTCCAGACACTACGGAAAGCAATTTGGAATCATGACCCCCAAATCACTAAACTATGCATACCCTTTGACCCATCCATACCTCTACTTCTAGACATATACCTCAAAGAGCTCAAATAAAGAGGAAAAGGACCCATATGTACAGAAACATTTGTGGTGGCTCTTTTTTATAGAAGCAAAAAAAGTCTGGAAACTAAAGCATTATTGGAGAATGGCTAAATGACATATGAATGGAATGGAATATTAGTGTGCAAATGGCAAAATGGACAGCTTCAGAGGAAACTAGGAAGACTACTATGAACTGATAGAGTAAAGTGAGGAGAACTAGTAGAAAAATTTGTACAATAATAACCTTATAAAGAACTCTAATCAATGCAATGACAAACCATAATTCCAGAGGACTAAAGATGCCAAGATGATAGACTTAAAATTTGCGTTGAGATATACATTTTAGAATGTTTATTTGTTATGAAGGTTTTATTTTACTTTTTTGTGGTTCGATTGGGGAGAAGAGGAAAAAGAGAAAATAAATGCTTACTAATTGGCAAAAAAAATTTAATGAAATAATATTTGATCCTAGATTCAAGAGGGAACCACTGGAGTTTACCAAGTAAGGGAATGACACGGTCAGAGTTGTGCTTTAGGAAAATCACTTTGGTAGCTATATGCTTTGGAAAGGAGAAAGTTGAGGTAGCGAGACCAGTTAGGAGGCCTTACAATAATCTAGGCATTGGACTAATTGAACAATGAGAGCCTGAAATAAGGTGTCGACTGTATGAGCAAATAGATAGGATATGAGAGATATGCAGATACAAAAGGCAAGATTTAGTGACTAATTAAATACATAGTGAGGGAAAATAAGGAATTGAGAATGACGCTAAGGTTACAAACCTGGGAGACTGGAAGAATGGTGATGCCTTTGACAGAAATAGGGACATTTGGAAGAAGAGTGGATTTGGGGGAAGAGAAATGTAATAATATCTGGGATCTCTTCCAAAGTCTATCCTATGATCTCTCTTTTCCTTCAGGACTAAACTTCTTGAGAAAACTGTTTACATTAACTTTCCTCTAGTTCTGTTCTAAACTCTCTCCAATCTGACTTCAACCTCATCATTTAACTGAAACTGCCTCCCAGTTTCCCAAGCTCACAAATTTAGTGTCATACCTAACTCTTCAGTAACCCTAACCCTAATCCTAAAAATCCTCGCTATCACTCACTCTATATATCCAATCACTCAACAAATCTTATCATTTATTTCTACCTTCATCTCTTTTATACATACATCCCCTTTTCTCCACTCACATACATATCCACTCTCCTGATTCAGACTCTCACCTGGACTATCAAAATAGATTTAAAAAAAAAATTTAGTTATTTTCAATTAATAAGCATTTATTTTTATCTTCCTCCCTTCTCTCCTCCATACCCAATTCAACAAAAAGAAAACCCTTATAACAAATATACATGGTCAAACAACACAAATTTCTACATTGGCTATGTTCAGAAATATATTTCATTCCGCACAATTCCAGAGGGTAGTGAGTGTAGTATACTTTATTATGGGTACTCTGGAATTGTCACTTTCCCTTCTCCCCTCAGTGAGCCCCAATGACTCACTATTACCTCCAGGATCAAATATAACTGACATTCAAAGCTCTTCATAACCTGGCCCCTTCCTACTTCTACAGTTCTTACACTATTCTCTCTCACACGCCCTACAAGATTCATACTGGCTTACTTGCTCTTCCTTGAATATGACACATCCCTCAAATCTGTTCCTTGAATGTTCTGCCCCCTCACCTCCATGTCTTAGTTCCTTTGGCTTTAAGACAATTCAAGTCTTACATTTTGCAAGACCTTCCCTGGTCCCTGCCCCCCATAACTCCTAGCTGGTAGGGCCTTCCTCTTGTCAGATTCTTTTTCTAACTACTCTGCATACATCTGATACATGCCTAATTATTTCCATTTCCCCCATTAGAATATAAGATTTTTTACAAGCAAGGAACTGGGTTTGTTTTACTTTTTATCCCTGGTGCTTAGCAGAGGGGGAGGTAGAGCTCTTACTCATTGGTCATTGCCCCAAAAGATGATGATGACACTGTAGAATTTGGGTTTTCGCAAAGGCATCCACCCAGGTGCTATGGATTGCAGTTAATTTAGCCATCTGCTGTAAGAAAAGGTAGGGAACTTGTTCATCAGAGGAATTGGGCTGAATAAGGACATACTGGGACTAAGGATAGGTGTGGTTGTGCTAGAGATGACTGGCTGTCAAAGAGGGTGGTATGGGACCTATTTTCTCATCCTCTGATTGGTTGAGGGGAAACCCACTAGCCCATTCCACTTTTGGACAGTTCTAATTGTTAGAAAATTTTTCCTTATATCAAGCCAAAATCTGCCTATTTCCAACCACAAATCTTACTTCAGCCCTGTGGGGCCAGTCAGAACCCAAGTATAATCTCTTTTCCATAAGACAATCCATTAAATACTTGAAGACAATTATGCCTCCTAATCGTCTCTTCAAAAAACATTTCCAGTTCCTTCAACTACTAGCATAGCATAAACTCAAGGTCTTTACCCTCTTAGAGACCCTTCTAGATGCCCTCCAGCTTATTAATGTCATTCCTAAGATATGGTACACAGAACTAGGAACACGCAGGAGATGTGGTCTCACCTAGGCAGAGCATGGCAAAATTGATGCAAACAAAGCTTTCATTAGCTAATCTGGCTGCTATATACCACTATTGACTCATATTGACCTAGCAATCCCCTACACCCCCCAGATCTTTTTCAGAAAAACTGCCATCTAGTTACATATCCCTCTTCTTGTGCTTGCAAAATTCTTTTAAATATGTAAGACTTTTACATTTATTCTCTTACATTTCATCTTGTTAAATTTAGCCCAATGTTCTAGCCTGCTGAGATATTTTTGAATTTTGAATGTCAACTAGTGGTAACTGTCTTTTCTAGCTTCGTATAATCTGCAAATCTAATAAGCATGCTACCCACCACTTCACCCAACTCCAATATAAACCTAACGTTTTCTTCATTTTAATTGTACAGGACGATAAATCTCAACTATTAACCCAGCTGGTACAACCTTCAAATAACGCACATCTTCTTGGCTACATTTTAATTCTCTCCTCGATGTTTCACCTTCTCTTGGCTGTTCAAGCCTTTTCCACATTCCCCAAGTATTTTACTCAAACTCTACCTTCACTGCTCTGCCCTCCTTCATTTGACTGTGAGCTGCTTGAGAGCAAAGACTGTTTTTACCTTTCTTTGCATCCCCAGTGCTCTTTCACTTCCCTGCTTTACATCCAATGTTTCCTTCTTTCTTCACCATCTTTTATATCCTCTCGTCTCTGAGTTACTCATCTCCTTCCAAGAATAACTCTGTACTGTTGATTCCATCCTTATCCTTTCTTCACTCATTCCACTAACTTCTTTCCCTATGTGTACACGTGCTTAGCTCTCACTCATCTTGAAACCTTCACTCACTCTGTTCCTCCAAGGTACTGTCCTTTCTCATTCTTCCTATCACAATTTCTGAAAATAGTGGTCTTTGCTCCACTACCTGTATTTCTTCACTACCCACTGTTTTCAAAGGCCCTTGGCAGCCTATTACTTGCCAAATCATTGGTCCTTCCTGTCATTCTGAGTTTTTTGTGGTCGAGAATATTTCATTGTTTGTAACCCCCAAAGTGCCATTAACATGGGCTGATCATATATGTGCTCCTGCATAGAGAAGCTAGATGAAACTTGCTTTGTTACAGCAATTATTGGGGAAATATGGACTAATAACTCCATACACAATACTACTGTAATACTCCAAAGTCTTCATTTTAATGGTTTGAAGGCTTTGCAGTTAAGAAATCATTGCGTCAACAAGGAAGGCATAGTTTTCTATGCTCTGTGGTCCATGGCTAAAATTTCAACCTCTATGTCCAATACGCAGTAAGCGTGGCCAAACTGGCTTACTTGCTGTTCCTTAGCATTCCATCTTCCATGTCTTGTCTCCATGCCTGGAACGCATCCCCTATATCCCAAGAATGATGTCTGGCTGCAAGAGACACCATCCCTCCAATTGCTAGTGCCTTCTGTCCTTGCCCCTTACCAAAAAAATACTCTCCATATATATTTATATCTCAATACATAAAGTCACTTTCCCCTTTTCTCCCTCCCAGAGGACATGGACTTCTTGAAGTCACGGTGTTTTTTGTCTTACCTCCAACACCTGGCACATCTATATACTTAATGAACACTTACTGGAAGACTAAATTACAAAGAAAAAAATTAAACAGTTTGTAGTGCTAGCTTATTTAGACATCAAACAGTATTCATTTTTAGCTGATTGCAGCTAGATCTCAATTATCCATACTGTCAATTACCCATGCACTTTGGCTGCCGTCCAGTTGACAAGCTACCCAGTCTTTGGCAGTTATGGCTCAGCTCAGCATCATTTGCAAGAAAACTTGCACAGGGTGTCAGGGCACCAAAATAACTAATAATTTCCTGGGTCTCCTTAAAATTGTCAACTAGTTGTTCTATCACTGTAGGTAATGAAACCAATGTAAGTATCACAGCTGCTAGAGGGCAGTGTTCCATTGACAATTTTGTTGTTCCTTTTCACATAATCTATTTAAGAGTGACTTTTCAGCTTCTTGTGATCTTCTTTACCCCAATCAGAGGAAAAACTAATCTGTACATTTTGACCAACTGTGCAATTATTCTTATCCTGATACAGAAAACTGAAAATGAATTCTTTATCGGCATTAGCCACTTGTTGATCTTTTCCTACCATGGTAAACTTTTAGTTTTTAAGATAAAACCCGAAAAGAGGGTCATCACATAAATGATAATCAGCACCCTACAGAAGCTAAAATTTAAAGAGTATTCATTATATGCTTTATGAATATACTTCAACACAATCTGAAAACTAAGAACAAAGTGAGTTAAAAAAAAAGTCAAAACTGCAAGTTCCAACAATAAAAATTGAGTAGAACAGTTTATTTTCCTATATCTCTTACAAGTATAATTTTAGAAGGGATTGGCAATTCACAAGTTTCATCATTAGTTCCCAACTCACATGAAACAGAAGAGGTATTAGTCTGGTTCTTTTATACATGCTAGATGTTCTATTGCATCATCAATGAGAGATGCAAAACAAGATTTGAGGGCAAAGCACTGGAGGAATTAACTTTTTACTTCAAACTTCTACCTAGGTGATAAGTGACATTATATAAACATATTACATTAATGACTAATCATGGCTTACCCGACAAGCCACAAAATAAAAGAATTTCCAGGGGAAAAAAGATCGAGGATTACTACCTATTTGGGATGTCAAAACTTATGAAAGAAATATATGAGGTGTTCACACATCCTTAGGGTTATCTAATCTAGTGAGGTTTCTGTAGATACTTCCAATTTGATCCTCTATTTACAAAGGTGGGAAAAGAAACTTTCTAATACAAAAACAAAGGTCTTAATGACAAGTAGAATTTGGTTGGCAGTGCATGCTGAGGTGTAAAATGGTCAGTGGTTCAAATTAGTGACTTCCCAAATATTAAAGATAATTAATGTATACTTTCAGCAAACTTTGGGGACAGATGGAGATATCTGATCTCATCAAATCCTGAGAAACATTAAGAGCTAAGTAAGGTGATTGGTGCCATTCTGAGACTTAAGGTATACAAAGCAAAGAAAAAGAGGGCGAGGGACAAAAGGGAAAAAATTAAAGAGGGGGAAAATAAAATATATGAATATGTTATGGAATATAAGAATGCTAAACTCAGCAGTGCCCTTACTACAGGCTACTTACCCTTAAATTAGATAATACCTGAGTTAGCTACAGAAAAACCTGTAATTTAAACTAAATCAAATAATATTAATTTTTAATTTAGTGAAAAGTCACCATCATAATACTCAGTAGCTTTATTACTTTAAGCACATATAATGTCAACTCCAATTGTTAAAAAAGGAGGCCCAAGTAGAAGCCCTTTTGAGTCTGCTTTAATAAAAAGATAACTCATTTAAAAATCAGCAGCACCAAAGAATGAAATGAACATGCTTTTTACAATGCTATTTTATACTAACTGGCTTAGAACATTGAGTATTAAGGTAAATTTCTACATCAAGAATTCCATTCTAACAAGTTATACTATGCTTATTTACCTCAAAACAACTAAGCATCCTGGGCAACACTGAATTTAAAATTTTTTTTTAATGGCTAGTTATGTTTTCAACTAAATGCTAATTTTTTTTATGATTGGCTCACCAAATTTAGTTATTGGAAAATTTCCTTCAATATTCTGCCAGTTTTCCTATTATCCACACTTTCTAAAACGCAAACATTTTCAAATCCATAAACTCAAAACTAACACACCATTTAGTAAAACCTCACTTTTTATAAATGAACAGGGAGGTTTGGGGTACAGCAACCAGCTCTGAGAGCACCACTAATGGAGATATACAATGAACATTAAATCATTAACAGGTCTTTCCTTAGGAAAATCCTGAGATCTGAAGCACTATGACTCTGTAGAAGGCAGGTTGGCTTTATGAGGAAAATTTTATCTTTATTAAAGACAACCACAATTATTTTAAATTGGGCACTTAAAATAGCATTTCACAGATCCTCAACATGTTTTGAGGTAGATTAAGTATTAGCATCCTGTGTTAAAAAACTGAAACAGGCAGCACTTGAGTCACCTGCCAGAGGCTAACAGCAACATTCTTCTTTCATGGTCAGGATTAGCACTGTGTTCTTAATCTTTCAGTGCAGTGCTTATTAGATCACTCCCCTCAGATGAATGGGGATTTCATTGCTGTAGTACTTAAGTCTTTCATGAACATATTAAACGAGAATTGACAAAAATCCATAAAATTCCATTTTGGGTTGTTTTTGTAATGTTGAAGTGATTCTTACAACAACTAATTTACAGGTGAAGATTTTACTTGAACAAATCTGGTATCCTTTTCCAAACACATCTATGGTTTGTTTTTTTACTTAATATCATTTTCATTTTGTTTTTCTGTTTTTGAGGGCAGAAAGGTAACTGTATAACTTTTCTTAAAATGGTAACTTGCTAAAAGTTTTTGTTAATGCCAATAGAGATGATTAAATCTACTTATGGGCACCTAATATTTTTGTTTACAGGAATGCAATAATGGCAATTACCATGTGTTCAGGGCCTAAAATTAGCCTGGATCCCTTTCCTCCTCTGACCCTTCTTTCTCCATTCCCCACACACACACCAAAAGGGAATTTATAGACAGAAAAACATTACTACTGGCATATTTCGGGCTAATATTGTCATAATGTATAATTGCATAAAATTGGGGGAAGTGTACAAAACTAGAATCGGCAAATTAGTCACAACAAAGATTTTTAACTTCTTGGTAAGACTGCCTGCCTCAACTTGTTCTTGTTTATGAATGAGATAAAGAAACAGTGCTACAGGGGAAAAAAATTAAATGGAAATCACTTCAAATCTTAAAAAAAAAAAGATGGTATTTATAAAAGCCGAATATCTAAGGCTTAAATGTTTAACTGGGATACATTCATCCCTCTTTAAATGAGATGGTCTAACTGGAGCAAGGGTCAACTCATTTAGTTTCCTCTTTCTAATTTAACACTAAAAATATTTACTAAAATGTTACAGGTCCATACATATTGACTTATATCTTTGGGATGTCGGTCTTCAAGTATTTACTTGTTCAAAATTCCCTTTTATTTGTACATTTAGAATTGTCAAATATTAATTACACAGGATCAGGATTTAATAGCTACTAAACAATAAGAAAATATCATCCTAGTGTGTCTTAAGTACAGAATTCAGCAGAACAATTATAAATTAAGCATATGCTTCTACTTCCAAATGCACAAAATGGCCTCAACTCCTGCTCTTAAAACATGTCAAATTAATAGCAAGAAATGGGGTTAAGCCCTGAAGGCTTTTTATTCTAGAGCTTTCAGAAAGTTGAGTGTGAAAGTAAAAATATTCTCCATTTTTAAAAATCTTACAAAATTACATGACTTGTAATTTCGTAAGTTACAATGAAATGTTCTGCATAGGACAAAAGTTATGCCTAAGCAACATATTGTATATGCACACAAGGCCACTGCATGTCATGGGCATTAGTAACAGATGAAAACACATAAGTCTATACCGAAATGAGTAAAGTATTCAGTTTGGTATTTTCTAAATTCAAGACTGTAAACTACTCTTACCTATACAAAAGTTCTAACTGTAGAGTTTGAGGTGGGAACTCTTGTGCTTCTGGTTGGCACATGATCTGTTAACAGTTTAAAAGTGTGAAATTAATACAGACATTTGCGAGAGGTTGTGCAAAACTATTATATTTACAAAAATGGCACAAAAGTGAATTCAACAGTCTATGCACATGCACACTTCATTCACATCTTCAAAAGAAAAGGTATTCTAACACTAAGAACTTGAAAAAAAAAACCAAAAACCCCAAAACAAACAAAACCCAGCTTCAATGGGCAGCTGTTAATAAGCACTAAATTCACAAAAGGTTACATCAGGATAGGCAAATATTGCCCAAGTAAAATTCTATTGTTAAAGCTGAAACAGGTTTAAGGCCATTCAAGTTTAAGAGCAAAGATAGAAATCATATAGAATCCCACCTTGTGTGTGTGTGTGTTTCATTTTAAATACATGATCTAACAACCTGTGGTCTTAAACCCCTGTTTTACAAAACCAAACAGAAAAATACAGAAAAAAGCAACACAATAGATTATATTAAATAACACAAACATATAAAGCTGTAATTAAGAGGAATAAGGAAAGCCAAAACAGTGAACTGTAAAACTTGCTTGTTATTTGCTGGAACCAGTCCTACACTAAGGAATAGGCAATATATACATTTATTTTCAAGTAGATTACTTTACATTGCTCTAACATGTGTCCTTTTTTCATCAGTGCATTGTTCAACTAGTCCAAAGTACTACAGTTTATTCTTAAAAGTTTACTCCCTTAACAATAGCAGCACACACTACCGCTACCTGCAAAGCTGTCAGTCTCAATGACTTAGTGTATGGAAGGGAAAAAAAGCTGAGAAATAACATGTTTGAGAGAAATAACAGGAATGAGGAGATTCATGCAGTTCAGCTCTTTTAATCAGCCAGCCAGTTTGCTAGCAACAAGGGATGGTTTCCGCTGTGGAAGATCCTGCGGAGTAGGAATGTGGTCACCAGTGACCTCTGTTTTGTCAGGAGCTGCTGCAGTAGGAAGCTGCTTGTTCTTCATTTTTGCTTTAGCCATGTTGTAATCCCCAGAGTCGAAATACTTTTGCTATAATAGAAACGGAAAAAAAACTTTAGCAAAGAATTTATAACAAGCATATATGCAACTGCACTGGTCTAACACTGAGAAGAATAAACTGCCAAATGACAAAATATAAGAATTCCAAGTATAGCCAAAAATTGACACCGTACTCCTGAACTGCAGAAAAAACTAAAAGGTAAATTTTTCTCAATAGACTTACTCTTACTTCTGAGCCCAGTCTGTGGGTCTATAGATAAACACATACACCTGTTAGATGATGATTGAGCTGACTGGGTTTAAAATCATACCTAAGTTCTCAATCAATAAATTATCAGAAGCAGTGTTCAATGGGCAACACTTATTATCAACAGTACTCTTACCATCTCTTATTTAGATGGTAAATAGCTAATATCACATTAGTATTTGGGGGGAAAGGGAAAAGTAGGATGAATGAAGGAAAGATGAAATTGATATTCTTAAAATATTTTTAAAACCTGAAGAAGGCAGTTAAGAGACATAGTATATGAAGGTTGTAACATGTAATCTTTTTACTGGGAGCAGTGTTACCAAGGTTGTAGGCTGTGGACATAAATGGACAATTATCAAGCTAAAGTCTGTTTGTACAGTAGTGATGGGAGGGCTGGGCTCACTGCCTATATATTCATCCAAAAGCTGCATTCTCATCTCACCTCGGCCTCAGAGAATTATTTCCTTTAGATGCAGCTCAAACACCACCTTCTACCGGAAATCTTTTCTGATAATCTCAACTACTAGTGCCCTCCTTTCCTACCATGAATTCATTACATATGTACTTAAATACATGTACATATTATCTCCCTCAATACAACTTGAGTGTAGATTTTTTTTTGGTCTTTTTATACCAAGCAGCTAGTACTCTGCCTGGCAGCAAGCAATTAATAAATTCTTGTTAATTAATATAAAAGTTGCAGCAATTGAAAATGAACAGCTTGAGATAACATGATGTCTTGTTCTGCAAATATTCAGAAGGTCCTTGAGACAATTTGCTGTCTTCTAGTCTGTAACATCACTAAACGTGGTGTTTAACCCAGAGTAATTTCATAGTACAAAAGCTATTTAATCTCGTCTGTCTCTCAGAGTTCCTGGGATTGCAATGGACTAAGAAACTCCCTGCAAACAGCTTGTAAATAATTAAAGAAATGTGACTGACGGATTTTATTTTAAAGTCAACATGTGGCTTGTTTCTCTGACAAGACATTCTAATTTATTGCTATGATGTTTTAGTTCATCAAAAATGCAGAAAATTATTTCAAGATTCCACTAATAAAATCAGTTTTTTTTTTGGGGGGGGGTTAGTGAGGGAAGTGATAGGTGAACTATTTCCCCCTGCTATATTTTTATATTTCTATATGTGCTATATTTCCCCCTTCATCATTTTATTTGTTAATGAACATATAGGAAATAGGCCCTGCCTGTTATCTGGCACTCTCTCTTGTTGAATCAGGCAGAATTTTGGAAAAAGTAAACTTTATGACTAGAAGCATCTTTTTTTCTACTTCTACACTAACCAATCAATCATTAAACAACATTCAGTGCTAATACCAAAAATCAAACAGTTGCTAGCTCAATGATGATGATTTTTACACAAAGGGCTAGGGAATAAACTTGTGGTTTCACTAGGGAGCTCCTGGTGAGGAATTTCTTCAGCCTGTTTGGGCTGGCCCTTTCTCTGCAACTTTGAGAGTTTTTTAAAGCACTAAAAGGGTTAAGTGACTTGCCCAGGGTCACAGAGCCAGAATGTGTCAGAGGCAGACTTGAAAGATTAAAATTAAATTTACAGAAAAAAGTAATGGACCTAACTAAAACAACAAAAACTCTCCAGAGCCCTAAACCTTTTTTATGGGCTAATTACTTTAAAAGCTGAAAGAATTTAAAATAGGGATAATTTCAGGAAGGAAAATATAAGTTCAAATATTTCAAGATGAACCAGAACACAGTAAAGTAAAAATTCATGATACAATGGAAAGTATCACGAGGCTCTGGAGTCAGAGGATCTAGGTTCTAATACTGAGTACCTAGGAGACCTAGAGCAAGTCACTTAAACTCAAGGCCACAGTAAAATGAGGAGTAGATATACTATGAGGCTTCTTCAAGTTCTAGATCTATAACAGAACATACTTTGCCAGATTTAGTTATATGAAAGGCCTAATCTATCACCTACACACAAAGTGTGTTAATTAAGGGAATCAATGATAAGTGTTACTATTATTACCCAATGGTAGCACTAAGGGGATTTTAGTTTTTGTTAAACCAAAACTGAGGTAGTTCTTATTAATATATAGGAAATCTTATATCAATTAGGTTATCTAATATGCTATCTTTGACCACTCAAAACCAATGGAATAGAGCTCAATCATATTAATATAGATGTAACACACACAACAACATAAATGCATGTATAAGAGCAGGAGTTTATTTTTCAAACTTAAAGAAAGTAAAGATTGACATCCAGTCAACAGTCATTTATTATGACATCCAGTCAACAGTCATTTATTAAGAACTGACCACATGCCAAGTACTATGCTAGCACTGGAGATACAAAGAAAGGCAAAACCACAGGAGCCCCTGCCTTTCATTCTAATGGTGGAAATGACATTCAAATATCAGTGAATATACTACATATTCATCCAAAAGCTGCATTCTCATCTCACCTCGGCCTCAGAGAATTATTTCCTTTAGATGCAGCTCAAGCACCACCTTCTACAGTGCAAGTGAAAGGTAATCTCAGAGGGATTGCACTGAAGGGGATAAAGAGAGGGGAAGACACTAGAAAAGACCTCATACAAAAGGTGGGATTTGTACTCAGTCCTAAAGGATGTTAGGTGAAGAGAAAGAATATTCCAGTCATAGGTTATAGGCAGTGAGAAGACAGGGAGTTGAGCAGTGGAGTGTTGAAAGCCAGGTTGTGAGTTAGCATGTGTACTTGGATTGCAGAGTGAACGGAAGAGAGTGTGTGTAACTTGGTCATTCCTACCTCTTTAGTGAAATTATTTTGTATATACTACAGTGGGTGAAACAGGGACAACAACCACAAGGCTGTTGTAATAGTCCAGGCATAAAGTGACTCAGGCCTTTAACCAGGGTGGTACCTGTGTGAGTAGAGAAAAGGGGACATACGGAAGGGATGTTTGAGGTAGAAATAACAAGACTTGACAAAAGACTGAATAGTTGGGATGAATTATGAGGAGTCAAGGATGACATCAACACTGTGATGGCAGTACCTTTGACTGTAATATGAAAGTATGGAAAAGAGGAGGGTTTAGGAAGAAAGATAAATTCTTTTTCTGACATTCGGAGTTTGAGATGCTTGTTAAGACATCCAATTCAAAATGTCCACAACATAGTGACAGAAGATTGGAAGCCAGGATGGTCAAGGCTTTCAGTGTCTAAAATATCCCCTGTAAAATGTAAAGAGTAATTTTAGGTAATTCTTAGATCAACTCTACCATTAAGGAAAAAAAAGTAAATAATTTAAAATGAAAAGAAATTTAAAGTACATAGCACCTCCTGAAATTGGAATAAAACCCCAGAGCACAAATTAAATACATTCATATTAAAGATTACCAGTTTCTCTTAAAAAAACAAAAACAAAACAAAACAAAAAACCCAGAAAACAGAAATCTCTCCTGCAACAAAATTTTTCCTTTCCACAAAGAAAAAAAAATAAAAGATTAGATTTTATTAATGTTAGCAAGTAAAAATATTTATGGTCAAACTAGACCAGAATTTTATTTACAATCAGTCTTAAACCCACTGACATTTCAAAAGACCACACTAAGCTCCTGACCTTCACATGATTTTATAAAAGTTCAATCTAACTCTTTTAAGATCCTACAGAAGGCTAGGAGATGGTCATTATAATTAACATTGGTGGCTAACAGTTGGACCAGAGTGCAAAGTCAATTCAAAGTTACAAGTTGTTGTGTACTCCTAGATTGAGGACAGATGTGTGTACAATGGAAAAAGTAGCCAGAACACTTGGTTAAAAATGGTTTCAATGTATGTAAATTATATTCTCCATTTAGTCTATATACAAAGAATATGTAGTAGGTTCAACATTACCCATTTTCAATAAACCATTTTCCCACTATACTTTTGGTTTATAAGCTGAAAATTTTTGATGTTATTCTCAAAAAATGCATGTTCTTCACATGACAACCAAACACTTCATTCCCCTAACTTTAGCCAATCATTAGCCAGACTAGGATATTTTCAAGCAAAGTTTCTTAAACTGGGATCTGTCAGCTGTTTAATTGCATCTTAATATAATTTATTCCCTTTGTTATCCTATTTTATGCATTTGAAAACATTCTATTGCTTTGTTTGACTGTACATATTCCTATCAGGTTTTGTTTTTCTTTTCTTCTCAATGGGTGGAAGAGGTGAGAGGAAGAGAATCTGGAACATAATGTAAAATTGAATTTTTAAAAATATATTCTTTGAAAAGGTCCACAGGCTTCAGCTGTGGGGTCTCTGGTTTGCCAATGGGTCCACGAAACAAAAATGGTTAATAACTCATATTTCTAAAGGAAAAATACTTTGGTGGTCACCAATAATGTTTCAAAGTAAAAGCTATAATTGATGGGATTTGATAATAAGACATTACAGAGACCTTAACAAATCTGTCAAACTCACTTTGCAAACAGTTAACCCTTGTTTAGCAATGCCCTGTCTAGCAAGAAATAAAGTTTCCCCTATTTATTCACAGGGCCATATATTAAGAAAAGAGCTTAAGGAATCATACATATAAGAAACTGCATAAAAATGGATCTTTTAACATTGTGGAAACTGGGTTTATGATAAGAATTCTCTGTAAATTTCAGTCACAAACCCTCAATATAATCTGTATGTGCTATAAAACTCATTTTGAACCTTTAATCCTACAAAGAGCAAGAAAGACTATCCAAGAAAAACAGTCAGTCCATTTTAATTGAGCTCTCAACCTAACAATGAACCAAACCTCAAAATAGCAAAAATGTCCCCAAATAATTTGAATTAAATAACTTTGAATTATTTTAATATATTTAAAAACACAGTTACTTCAATATACTTAAAATACTTTTTTAATACATTTGAAGATGGCAATTATATCAAAATAAACAATTTCCCAAGTATTTAGAGAAATCAATGTACAGAACAGTAAATTCTTAAACTATACCAAAACAACATAATGTTAACTTGCTTAAAATCATACTGGTCATTTCATGCCACAATTAACAAATTTGCATAGCATAAGGAAGTAAAACTTAAAAAGAGGAACTTACTCCTTTCTGTAGTCGCTTCCTCAAGAAATCTGAACCTCCAGGCTTTTGTCCCAGATGAGGATACCTTGCTTTTAATTTTGCTTCTTCTGCCTTCTCTGGACTAGTTACTTTGTCTTCCATTTCCTGAAATTATTTAATATCAATTAGTTTTTTATTCCACCTATAGTTTTTGTTTAAAAAACAAAATACCCCTTTTTACAAATGTAATCTGGTTCTTGCACGTAGCTATCCAATGCCAAAGAACTCTCAGCATCTAGCTAATATCTTACCGAAAACCAAGTACAGGAGGAGCTCTAAAGACAGAACCTCTAGTTAATGTATTTTTTAAAATGATCCAAGAGATGGCTCTATTATAGCTGTGATGCATGTGTACCACCCTACACACTAGATAAAAATATCAAGATAGCTCAGCTCTGAAGTCTTTCCTGCTATTATTTTCCTGTCACGTAAAATACATTTATAGTTACCTACCTTTTATGGAACTCTTCAGCTCACATTTTCCTATAATTAGATGTTCATTCTAATACATTTTTATGATTTTAAGATCCCAACTACAGTGAAACCTTTCAAAGCAGATGTTTACTCAAAATCACGTCTCATTTGAAACACAGCTATTCCCCAGAGTTTATTCAAAGTCATTCCTCTTTCTAAAACCCCTTGAGTTTGGAATTAATGAGGCTGTATTGTACTGCACATATTCTGCAGATAAATAAATGCCCAATTTATTAACAAAGGAATCTAAAAGACAGCTTCATGGTCTCTTGTCAAAAAGAAGCAGTACTTGAACCTCAGGTCTTCTAACTCTGAAATTGGATCTCTAGCCATTATACAACACTGTCTCCCAGTTTTACAATAAATCGTAGAATATTCCCTAATTGTTTCATCTTTTTTAACACAGTTTGCAAGATCCTAGCCAAAATCCTTCTGAGCTACGAAATAATGATCACCAGTATTCCAAACTGGAAAATGGCTTAGACCACACACAATTATAGTAGACACCACAACATGCACTAATTACACAACAGATACAGAGAAAGATATAGTGAACATCATCAAGCCTTCTTTACAATTTTTAAGGTGACCCTTGTAGCTAGTTACTGAGCAAGTAGGAATCAGCATCAAGAACTTCACCAACAAGCAGGCACAGTTGTTTAGTGCTGATGATGCCAGACCTGAGACAAAGAGTTACTGTTACAAAGTATCAGATAGTAAGCAATTTATTAGGCAAAGTTCTGCCTGAGGCTACATTATACACCTACAAGTGACCCTGAAGCTGGGTTCACAACACACTTTTGGATATCTAGTGAACACTTCTCCAAGCCAGTTTCCCACTACTCTTCACTAAATCAAAGTTTTATTAAGAACCTACGTGCCAGACACTGTGCTAAGCACCTGTTCTTTTCAGTCTCCAGTCACCAAGTCTGAAAACGCACAGAAAGGAAGTTAGCTTCAATAACAAAGCCGCAGTCGAACGCCAACATAAATATGTTAACAGATTCTCTGTTATAAGAACCTGAAGTTAAATTGCTAAAAGTATTATGTAATCACTTTCCTTTCTCATTTTGACTATCATTCTAGGAGGAGCTAGAAAACACCTTCTGTTAAACATGGAATGCACTAAAGTTTCATAAGACAGAAAATAGGATTAAAAGCTGCAAGAGACAGCAGAGTTCATCTAGTCACAGCCCCAGCCTCATAGCAGGAAACAAGCTCAGAGCAGTCAAATGACTTGCCCAGTAAGGAATAAAGTTTGGATTCTAACCAAGCTTTTCCGACTCTAAATCTAGAAAGCAGCAAATATATTGAATGCTTTGCACATAGACTGTGCTCTGTTAGTATTATGCTGACATTTTACATACATTCTTCATTAAGGTTATCAAGAACAGAGGCAACAACTACAGACAAAGCTACCCTAAATTCCTGCATTTGAGAGACTATTTGGCAAAAGGAAAGATTCCCATTTAGAAGACTTTAATTTTGTTTTTGGATATTTGAATTTTTTATGATGGGAACTGAGGAAAAATTACTCAAATTTCTTCATAATTCCTTTTATTTTAAGGAAAGATGAAGAAAGCAATGTTCCTGCCAACCTGACGGTTCAGAAGGACCTAATCAGAAAAGGGTATGAAGTACATATAGTAGTATAAATTATTTTACTTAATTAGTCTATGGAATAGGATTTTTTGGCTGAAAAGGAAAGCTATCCTCTCCGTCATTCTCTGAATTGTTTTGGTAGAATGCTAATTTGGGACAACCAAATGATAAAGAGTTTAATTAAATAATCTGTGGACAACTAAAAAGGAGCGCTGAATGACAACTGCCCTAAAAACTATGCCAGTTATTTTTCTCAAGCTTTCAGGCAGGCCATCAGTTTTATCTGGGGTGCTTAATTAAAATAATAAGTGCAGCTGGAAAGTCTTCATAAACAACAGTAAATAATGATGACTCACATTGCATTCTAAGCACTTTGCTCATAACGAGCAAACCACTAAGTTTGGTACGGTTTTTAACATTTTTTAAAAAGTTTCAGAAAGCTGACAGGATAGTTCATCAGCAAGAATGATGGGTTTGGAGTAAAAAGACTTGGGTACAAATCTTAGATCTGTCAACTTATGTCACCTTGGACAAGTCAATTAATTTGCCTGGGTATAATTTTCCTCATCTGTAAAATGAGGGAGCTGGACTAGATGGTCACTAAGGTCCCTCCCAGCTCTATAATTACCTAACTTAAAACAAGAACCTTAAACCTAAGGATCTATCTACTTGCAGATGATCTTTCAAAGGGAAAAGAGTTCCAGGCTTCAGTCAACTAAGCAGGGTGAAGAAAACCAGATCTTCAAGAAGCAATGATCTGATATGCTGATTGGAAAAAATAGACTAGCAGTTCTCAAACTTTTTGGTCTCAGGAGCCCTCTATACTCTTAAAAACTGAGGACCCTTCCCCCAAGGAGCTTTTGTTTATATGTTAAATCAGCTATTTACCATGTTCAAAATTAAAACAGTTAGTACTATTATGAAAATAGTTTTGAGCTCACAGAACCTCTGTAAACAGTCTCAGAGAGCCCCAGGGACCAATGAACCATACTGCTGGAATAGACCAAGATCATTTAAAGCAATATTCTTGACTTAGTCTTATAACCTTGAAAAACATAATAGAAGAACTAGGCATGTTGCATAATTTTTGTATAAAATAGATACTTAATAAAGGTTTGTTGAAGTGAATTAACATACAGATCACAGGATCATATATCTAGAGCTGGAAGGGCCCTCAGATGTCATCTAGTCAGAAGTGACTTGCCTGAGGTCACAGAGATTGCAATAGGTGCCAAAGCTAGGACATGATCCTAGGTCTTCTGACTTCTGAACATGCAGTGTTCATTCCATTCTAACCCAATCTCCATAATTAAAGTATTTAGAGCTGGAAGCAGCTAGGATTTATATATTGTAACCCTTAATTTCATAAAGAGGAAATTGAGACCCAAGCAGATAAATGAGCTGCCCAAAATCACACAATAGATAAATAGTAGGGCCAGGATTCCAATCCAGGTTTTCTCACTCCAAATCAAGAGCATTCTCTTTCCACAGTACTGTTTATCATTGACCACTTTGTGCAACAGGTTAGAGACCCTAGCTAGAAAAATGATTTCACATGTGAACAAGTACTGACTATGAATCAGAAAAACTGGGTTCAAATCCTGATTCTGCTCTGCTACTTACTACCTCTATGGCTAGAAGCGTGTCATAACCTCTTTGACCTCAACTTCCCCCTCCAGTAAAATGAGGGTATCGGTTAAAATCAGAAGTCTTTAAACTACAGCATGGGCATCATCTACTATCAGGTTTTTCTAAGGCCCACTAAGCTTTAAGAATGGTTTTTACATTTTTAGATACAATAAAACTTGGGGTCAGATGGGATGATCACCCCCTTACAACATACCATTAGTACTAAAAGCTGCCCACTATCATTGAATCTACTTGCAGAATGGTCAATGATTCAATGATTGTAAAGTGAACAGAAAACAATCATTCTATCTACTCTATACTGGGGTATCTGCAGACTGAGGCGTTCATTTTCACAACACCTAACTCCAAGGAAAACGAATCTACAGTGAAAACCTCATCTTCCTAAAACTGTTTCCTCAACCTATGCAAGAAGAGTTTATTAGCCAGGTTTTGGAATGTAGCTAACTTACTAGCTTTAAAAAGTACTTACTGAATTGGACAAGAGAAGAGACAAAAGATTACTGAAGCAATATCTAGAGTCCAAAACTATCCCTCAAACAAACAAAAAAATCCCAGTGTCTTCAAGGATGTAATGTTCTTTTTTTAGTACCCTAACACATGATGATGAAATCATTATCCCTAGTGGTAATTAACAATACTTATATCCACTGAGGAATAAGGTCATTTCAGTTTCTTCCCAAAATTCAACAAAATATAAGCAATATTTACTGTTTTGTCTACTTTTCATTTCTTTCAGACTTTTTACACTAAAGCTACATGCCTAAATGCAACTATAAATGGCTTCACCCCTACTACATACTTTCTGCCCCTGAAAAGTAGCACTTTTCTGGGTAACTCCAATAGCAAAGCAGTCTGAAAAATGTCATTACTTTTGTGTTATGTGTGCATATGTGCACACACATGCAACCAGATCGCCTCATTGTCAATGTCCCCTTACCTTAAGTTATTGTTCTTATTATAGGATTTAGAACTGCAAAGGGACTTTAAGATAGTCCAGGCATGCAGTCTACAGATGAGGAAACAGGCCCAGTTCAGTGAAGAAAAAACATTTATCTGAATTTTTTATAAGAAATTAGGTCCCTTGGTAAACACTTGTTCATGTACAGACAATTGAAGAGAAGTAATTTTACTGATACAAAAAAGAGAAGAGATTTTCAGCTAAGTACTTAAGTTCTGGTAGACAGAGATCAATTAGTTACATAAATACTAACCAAATCTTTCAGGTCATTTCTAGCCAATCTTTTAAATAGAAGGATCAGCTAATCTGGCCATGGCAGTAACAGAAGTGATGCTGCACATTTTCTTCTCCAGTAGAGACAAGATAACAAGATATTGGTGCTTATCATGACACACATCCTGGGCTCATAAAAAGTAATTTATGTGAATATGCTATGAAGCATTAAAATTATATCAAAAATGTATGCAAAAAGTAAAAGTTGAAGTTTACTTTTCATTTGAATCCAAAATTAATCATAAAACAAGGTCATTTGCTCCTTTTGGTTCCTAGGACAGTGTCACAATTTTGGCTTTTATTAACATTATTTATTGTAAAAGTAGATTTTTAGTTGTACAAATAATTAACTTTCACATTAAAAAATGGAAATTTTTGTATTCAGGAAAATTCAAAAGTACAGTTTAACTAGTAATAAATATCATGTCTACTCACTCCCCCCCCCATATTCTTACAGCATTAATGGTCTGGAAAGGTTCAAATGTTTAAGTAGGTAAAAAATGTAAATTCTGATGTTATTCTATTCAGTTAACACTGAAATTAATCAACGTCCTTATATGATTAAGAAACCAATTAGACAAAATAAACTATGACATCAAAGCAAGAAACTGATTTATGATACCCCTGGATTGATTTTCCTGTACTCTAAGTTTGGGATCTCCAAAAACGATGGTAATTTCCAGATCAAGTCAGGAAACAGAAAGTTAATCCAACTTAGCCCCCAGCAATACAGTTATCACAGAGATATAAATGCTGATTTATGCACACTGAAGAACTGAGGGACAGGAGAAGCTGAAATTAACCTTATGTGTGTTAAACACTAAATGTGAAAGATCTGGAGGAAAACAAACTGCCAGAATTCAGGTTTAAATTAAATCGTTTAATTCAAAAATGCCAGAAATCTGTTTTAAACGCCCTCTGAAGTTTGAAGTTTTCCATATACCTTTTTGTGCACAGAGGAAGAGAAAAAGTAGAAGATAATTTGTATCCAAAAGTTCTCAAGCTTTAGAAACTCTGCCCTCTATCCAATGTAATCCGCATGCACAGAGCTTGGCAGTTAGAGAATCTTGCAAGATGGAAACTTGTAAGGAATGGTTGGTTAGAATCAGAAATCAAGCCTCAGATGTAAATATGCGTTTCAATTGGCAAGGAAATGACCAAACCAAATGAGCTGGAAATATTGGGGGGCAGGGGGACAGATGGAGGGCTCGGAATCCCCCCGGGGGGCAGGGAAGGCCAGCAGGTCACACCCACCCTTCCCAGGATGGAGCACCTCCCTCCGCGCTTCCTTCCCCGCTTTTCACAAAGCAGGCCACATTCACTTCCCTAAGAATCCAACAAAAGACCAGCCAGGTCGGACCGGGCCTCGGGGAGAAGTGCAATTCACGAGCCGGCGATCCTGAAACAGGCAGCGAGCGGCGCCGGACGGGCCGCCAGCCACGGAGGAGGAGCCTCCGCCAGCGGGAAGCGCCTCCAGCGGACGGGGCGGAAGCGCAGGCAGGCTCCGGGACCCGCTCCAACAGGGCTTGGGGCGAGGAGGAGTGGCCGGATCTGGCTCCTTCCCAGTGGGAATGGAAACGGCTCCCGTCTCTGTTCCCCCACCCCCCACCCCCGCTCGTCTCACTCCCGGAAAGCGGCCTCTCTGGCCGTTGTCGAGACGCAGAGAGAGGTGGGCGGGCGAACTCCGTGCCTGCCTCCGGTCCGGGCGCCGGACTCCCCCCGGCCTCTTCCTCACCTTTTGCTCCTCAGCCGAGGCCGCCTCGGGGATCTCCGCGGACATTGCGCCCCTTCAGTCGACTGGGAGGACACTGGGGGAAAGGAGATGCAAAAGAGCAGGGAAGAGGAAGCCCCTACAGCCGCCAACAACGTTCCCCCACGAGCCACCGCCCGCGTCACGCTCAGTCCCTCAACCTCCTGCTCCCGCCCTCCAGCCCGCTTTCTCTGAGCGCCCACCGCCGTCGCGGTAGTCTCCTCCCTCCCAAAATGGCCGCCGCCTTATGACGGCATAGCGTCTCGCCGTGTACGGCTCGTCGCAGGGACCCTATTTCCTGACTCCTCGGCTCCACCCCTCTCCTTTGACCGTTTGGCCTGTAAGTTTCCCCAACTCCTTCCCAGACCCCGCCTTAAGAACGGGTCCTTTCTTCAGCATTTGTAGATAGCCACTTACTGTAAACGTCATTTCCGAGTTCAGTTGCTTTCGGTGCTTTCTGGGAATTGTAGTTTTTGGTCCATTCTTATTCAGAATCTCAGAATGCTAAAGCCAGAAAGGTTCTTATTAAGAGACTTTAGTACAACCTTATTTAATTTAATTTTATTTTATTTTTTAAAAATTAATTTATTTTGATTTATCAACAATCACTTCCATATGCTTTTGAGTTTAAAAATTTTCTCCCCCTTCCTCCCCACCACCCTCCCCAAGATGGCGCACAATCTGATATAGGCTATACATATACGTTCCTATTAAACATATTTTCACATTAGTGATGCTGCAAGTAAGAATTAGAACCAATAGGAGGAACCACCAGAAAGAGGAAACAAAACTCAACAGAATAGAAAAAAATAGCAAATAGTATGCTTCGATATGCATTCAAACTCCATAGTTCTTTCTTTGGATGTGGATAGCATTTTCCATCACGAGGCCTTTGGAGAGGTCTTAATCCATGCATTGCTGGGAAGGGTTAAGTTTATCAATATTGGTCTTTGGACAACGTGGCTGTTATTGTGTACAACGTTCTCTTGTACAACCTTATTTTATATATGAGGAAACTGAGGCCCAGGGAAGGAAGAAGGGCCCTACCCAAGGTCACTCAGGTGGTAAATAGCAGAACCTGCGCTGAAACTAACATCTGACAGAGTAGGAAAAAGAACACTTGGGTCTAAAGCCTGGGGTCTGTATCATAGCGCCACAGATATAAAGATTTATGGGAAGGGAAGTCCAACTCCTTCATTTTACAGATGAGGAAACTGAGGACCCAAAGAGGTCAAGCACTTTATCTAAAGTCACAGGGATAATATGTGGTTAAGCTTGGATTCAATCCTAAATCCTTTAACTGCAAATCCAGAGCACATATCTATGGAATGATTTGGTCTTTGGGCAAAGCACTTTCATTTTTCTGGCTTTCCCTTTCTTCATCTAATTCTTTTCACTTTTGATCTGAGGCAGGACTCCAGGACTCAGATTTCATATAGAGAAATCCTAGTGTGGAAACACGCCACATGTGCAGATTTGCAATTCCCCTGTAATTTACCATCTTTGATAGTTGCAGGCTACACTGAAGTGTGTCTTGTCCACAGTGACACAAAATTAGGACTCATATCAGGGGCAGGATTTGAACACAGGTTTTCTGAAGAAAAAAACAACAACCATATCGATTGCCTCCACTTTCTCACTTCTCATTCACTTGCAACTTAACTCCAGTTCAGCGCACTGAAACTCCTCTCTATAAGGTTGCCAACAATATTTTTAGTCATAAATCCAATAGACTTTTATCAATAGCCATATGGGAAAAAATGTTCCAAATGACCAATAATTAGAGAAATGCAAATAAAAACACTCTGAGGTTCTACTTCACACTCATCAGATTGACCAAGCAGACAGAAAAATGAAATTAGAAATGTTGAAGAGCTGCAAGAAATAGCCAGGCCATTCTAGTAAGCAATTTAGAACTATACCCCCAGAAGTCACCAACCTGTGCAAACCCGTGTTTGACCCATCAATACCATTGCTAAGTCTATACCCCAAAGAAATCAAGGAGGAAAAGGATCTAAACAGGATGTCCCAAAAGTCTATGTGCAGTTTTAAACTTTAATAGCTAAAAATAAGCTAAAAAGCCTTAAAAAAAAAAGCTATTAAAGCTCAAGGCTGCACTAAGCCTTTTGAAAACTATGTGTACAAAAGTATGGCAGTAATTTTTGTAGTAACAACTGAAAACTAATGGAGTTCCCATCAAATCAGGAATGGTTAAACAAATTATGGCATATGAATTTGATGGAATGCTATTGTGCCATAAGAAATTATAAAAGGCACGGTCTGTGAAACCTGGGAAGACTTGTATGAAATAATACATAGTGAAGTGAGCAAAATCAGGAGAACAATTTATACTATAACAACACTGTAAAAAGAAACAACTTCGAAAACCTTAAGAATTCTGAACAATACAATGACTAGCCAGTACTCCAGAGGACAAATGATGAAGCATACTACCCACCTCCTGACAGAGAGGTAACAAACACAAAGTTTAGTAAGAGGCATATTTAGGTGAAGATGGATGGGAGTGGGGGGGAAGGAGGACAGTATCAATGGGGAAATGTGTTTTATATTGATAGACACAGTTCTTTCTCTGGATGTGGATAGCATTTTCCATCATGAATCAAGAACACTCTTTCATACTCTTATTTTTTGTTGTTGTTCAGTTGCATCTGACCTTTTGTGACCCAATTTGGGGTTTTCTTGGGAAGGATACTGGAGTGGTTTGTCATTTCCCCAGTTCATTTTACAGATGAGGAAATAGAGGCAGGAAACTGAGGCAAACAGGATTAAATGACTTGCCCAGGGTCACACAGCTGGTAAGTGTGTGAGGCTGGATTTGAATTTAGGAAGATGTCATCCTCACTCCAGGCCCAGCACTTTATCCATTGTGCCACCTTAGTTGCCCAATCTATATTTACCTCTCTGTATTATTTGATGCTATTGACCACTCACTCATGCATGCTATGTACTCCCTAATCTTGAAATTCTCTGTAATGATTCTCTTTCTACCTATCTGAAGGATCCTTCTCAGTCCCCTTTTCAGAATTTATCCTCCATGTCCTACCCACAATAGATGATTATAAGCTCAGGGTTCAGTGTTGGGCAACCTTTTGTTCTCTCTACACTCTTTTCCAGGCAGATTAAATGGACAGCAATTATTGTTTCTATGCAGTGACTACCAAATCTGCCTATTCAGCCCTTCTCTCAAGAAGCATGTCCCACATTACCAACTGCCTAAGAGGCATTTCAAAAACTCAACATACTTAAAATAATAATTGTCTTTCTCCACAAATCCATTCTTCCTCCCACTTTCCCTGTTTCATTTAAGGGTACTAAATATTGTTCCAATCACCCAAGCTTACAACCTAGGAGTTATCTTCAGCTTTCCACTCTCTTATTCCCCAATCTAATTAGTTACCAAGTTTTGACTCTTCTACCTCCTCAAAACCACTCCCATCCCATTTCCTCCTCTTTATTTATAGTACATCTACCATAGTTCAAGCCCTCAGAACTTCTTTCCTAGACTATTACAATACCCTTCTAATGGGTCATATTACCTCCACTCTCTCCAATCTTTCCAATACCTTCTCTGCACAACTGCCAAATGATATTCCTAAAGCAGAGGTCTAATTATGTCACTACCTCATTTAAGAAGCTCCGATGGCTCCCTAGATGGTTCAATGGATAGAGTGCTGGGCCAGGAGTTGAGAAGAGCCGAGTTCAAATCTGGCCTCCAACACTTAGAGACAGTGTGACCTTGGTCAAGTCACAATGGTGGCTCCCTATTGCCTTAAGGATAAGTTATAAACTCCTTTGTCTGGAATTTAAAAGTCTTTATAATCTGGCTTAAGCCCATCTTCCCACATTAATTAGATGTAGCCCAGATGTGGCACCAATCCCACTCTCTAAGTTCTATTCTTGACCTACAGATAACTTAATCATCCCACTTACAACAGCTTTGGCAGATTGAGGTGATTCCCAAGAGGGTCAGCCATAACACTAATACTCAATTCTCTAGATCCTGTAGATAATCCTCGTATAGGAAGAACACATTCCTACTTTTCATCTCTATGGCTACTGAGCTCCCCCTGGTATGTTTCCCACTTACTAAATATTCAGTCCCAGTAATACTTTTGACTCTTAAACATGAACCCTTTATTAAATGGTAAGACAAAGAAAGAATAATCATAACATTTACTCACTAGAAAGCAAAAAGTATAGTCAAAATAAAACAATCCACCCATAAATCCGGAGCACTCTTTATCACCAATGCACAGAGTGTCCATATATATAAGAGTGGGGACACATAGAAACCTACCAGTAAGTCACATGAGTAGGGAAGCCCTTGTGCCTGGGGCAATTCACAACTCTAGACTACAAGTTTGAATGTTAGTGGTCTTTTTTTTTCCTTTTCTAAAAAATTCTGAACTTAATAAGACAAGCATTTCCACAACAAAGTAGAATAGAAAAAAGGAGGATTGCACATAAAATTGCAAATCTCTTATATACAACTTGCTTTTCCTTTTAAATGTATAACAAAATTTTCATATAACTTTCTTTCCCCCTTCTTTCCACCCTCTACTCTGTAGATGGCTACTGTTAGACACAAATGTGTGTATATAAATATTTATATGTATATAAATATGTGTGTGTATAACATTATACTATACATACTTCTATTTTTTAGTTCTTTCTCTGGATGCAGATAACATCTTCCTTCACAGGTCCTTTGTAGGGTATTTAGGTGTTTATAATAGTTAAAATGACTTGGTCACTCAAAATTGTTCTTAAAACAACATTGTTGTTACTTTATACAATGTTCTATTCATTCTGCTTGTTTTGCTCTTCATTATTTCATGCAAATATTTCCATGTTTTTCTAAAATCATCAAGCTCATTATTTCTTATAGCTGGTAGTATTCCATCATAATCATATACCACAACTTGTTTAACCATTCTGCAATTGAAGGGCATCCCCACCATTTCCAGTTCTTTACTACCACAAAGAGAGATTTTAGAACATATAGATTCTTTTCCTGTTTCCCCAATCATCTTGGGAAATAGACCTAGTAGTGGTATTGCTGGGTCAAAAGATATAGATGGTTTTATAACTCTTTGGGCATAATTCCAAATTGTTCTCCAAAATGGTTGGATCAATTCACAATTCCACCAACAATGAATTAGTGTCCCAATTTTTCTACATCCCTTCCAACATTT